TGGCCAAGCTTACCAAAGTCGTCAGCGCGTACTTATATATATACTAAATTGTACAATCTACACCAACGCAGTCACAATTACGACTAACTTCAGCAACGCGTTCCGAGTCTGTGTATTCCTATTGGTTACGAGTTGGTTACAAGATTGAGAACAAGAGAAGAGTGCCTGACATTTGCGACATGGTCTTAGTGAAGCACGCTTCACAGCGAGCTAGCAAGCGCGTAATGCATACGCTGGAGATCATGTGCAAGCTACGCCTGTATTTGTATTTGTGGCTGCGCTTGGGCGAATCGACAGTAGACGTAAGCCCGGAGACAGCTCCCTTACGTACAGAAACAAACCGCATGATACGCATGTGTGATTTACAAGTGAGATAATGGTGCGCTCTAATTGGCAGGTGATTGCGGTGGGTGGCCAATCAATATCGAGCGTGGCTGCAGTCTAGATCACGTCTTTTGTCCGAGCTTATTAGACGAGGCGCCCTTCATGGCCTGACTTCTACAGTTCATGGAGTGTTGTTTCATCTGCCTGTATGATCTGTGTAGTGCTGGAGAAGGGCGGCGTCGATTGATGTATGCTGTCTAACATCCTATGGCAGCTTGAGCTCTCTCTTTGAGTGACTGCAACTGGCCTGATAATTGCACATGAAGTGAAGAAACTTCGTTGGCGTAAAGTATAACTACGCCATGGCAACGCTGAGCAAATGAAGATAGCACGTAGATGTAATATATGGAAGTGATCAATATCAGGATAGTGCTTCCTCCATAAGCACTTGTACGGCGGGTACGGCGGGTCGTTTCCGAGCATCATGGGGACATAAAGCAGCAAGGAGACATCGAGGAGGATATATATTTATACATGTGTATATAATATTCATTATTATATTATCATGAGTCGTGTTAACGCTTAAACCTAGCCAGGAACCCGAACCTACTATGGGACTTCTGCGGCGGCGGGGACAAAGCAGCAGCAAATACCGCCTCCTTCTCGCGCACCACGGGTTTCTCGCCGCGATTATTATTATGATGACTCTGTTTCGTGAAATTCCCTAACCTTGCCTTCAGCGTCCATATCGAATCTGCCTTCCTCAGCAGCGGGCTCTTCGTCCGCTTCGGCTTCTCGTAGACCTCGTCGCTCTGCGTCCAGTCGACGCGGTGCTCGTTCGCGGTCGCCGGATCGACGACGAGGGTTTCCTCGGACGAGATCTGGTCCGCCGGGAGGTCGTGTATCGCAGGCGGCGGGTGGACCACGGCTAACACCTCGTCCTCGAGGATGTTGCCGAAGCTGTTCTGGCGCTCCGACCTACCGCAGCCGCTTGCCTTCCCTCTAGAAGACGCAGCAGCGTTATGTTGAAGGCTTTCCTCCGAACTGCTTCGCTCCTCTGCCTGCGGAACATGGGCTTGCTGGAACTGGTTCCGCTCGTGCAGCTTCTCGCGGTAGCTCTGTGCCCTCCTGAGGGCGCGCTGCTGTTGCGCGGGCGTCATGCTCGCCTCGAGCTCGGCGCGGTCTGAAGGCCGGCTGCCCTCCATGTGGTAGCTTAGAGCCGCCTGCGAGAGGCTATGCACGAGACTCCTATCGCCGACGCTGATGGCCGTTGCGGTCCTTGCGAACTGCGCTGCCGCTTCCTGAGGGACGTGGTGGTACGGTGTTGGCTTTTCGGCATGTTCTGCTGTCGGCTCTACTCCCCTTGAGGATTTACGCCGTAGCTTGTCTTGGAGGGACTTTGGCTTCGACCGTCCAGACGATCGGTTGGTGTTTGCCCTCAACGGCGAGTCTGCCGTTGCCCTGTTGTCCTTCGCCATCCTTGCCGCGAAACTCGTCCCGTCGGCCACTGGCCTTGTTAGTTTTAATGACGTTGTATCCGACTCCTCTATCGCGTGTTCGTCTGTAGCCGAGTCATGCTTCTCCTGAGGTACTCTTTCTAGAGCTTCTAATCTTGCTCTTCGCTTCCTCTCCTGTAATTCCTTCTCTTCCTGCTCCGCAATGACTACGTGAAGCCGCCGGCGTAGATCATCAGCATCGAAGGGCTGTGACTTAGCATGGCGATGATGCCTTGTATAATTTTGCTTGCGTGTGTCTGGTTTTGCGACAGCCTGCTTGGCTGTGCCCGACGCTTGACGAAGGTCTGCGGTGCGATTCATGGTGAATTGCATTGTGCCAGGAACCGAGTATAGTTGACTATAGTTGAGAAAATAGTATTAAGGTTACTAGGAATGCGCCGGCGGCATGAACTCGTATTAAAGGAATGCTCAAGGTCTAGACGCCGAAATCAAAGACATGCACCGGGATAATGAGACAGAATGGGATGTTTGCAAAGGTTATGGTTCCCGTAAAGCGGCAATTCGTCCTTGCAGATATGTCATGCATGACCTGTCTGAAAGGAGGGATACCCCTAGTTAGGAGACTTCACAACCACAGGAATATGTATGTATGACAAATTCAGGGGATATCTTCGACTGTATGCAAGACGTGGAAACTCGAGAGCGAGATAGACAGGAACTCTCGAGGTTAATAGCAAGTTTCTAGAGTTAAGGCAGTAGATTGCAACGGTCCCACGAGACACGAGATGGATGGCAAGGCAATCTTGTACCAAAAGAGGGAAGTCAACATCCATTTAGTGGAAATCCGGGGCAGAACCACATCGCAACTGTCTCGGCGCAGCATCTTGGACAAGGGGATAATGCTAAACTAGCCGACTAGGAGCTCATGAACCGCAGTCAACCGCAATGGTCAGTTGACCGCCGAAGCGCCATTGGCTGACGTTGGCTTATAATAAGGGGACGAGCCGAACTAACGATTTATAGACGGCTGCGTGACCACGATTGCCTCTTTTCTCTCTGATTTCAGCATTCTCAGATCTCGTTGCGTGAGCTGACGGTATCGAGATGCGCTATTGAGTCTCGCGCTTTTTACCCAGCCCCTGAAATCAAATTGTGTCACAGCATTCTTGACGAAGACAGCAGCAGAGAGAGCGGTCTGGGACACCTGCCTGTCCATCCTACGGTACGTCGTATGCCGACTGGAGTTGGATGCTATAGGTAATAGGTGGGAAGAAGGGCAGTTGAAGGCTGGTTGCGACCCCGGTCAACGAGGTGTCCTAGACCCAATGCGTACAAATATGGCTTGAGCTAAAGTTACGATAGGGTGGCTTGCATGCACGTACCCTAGCGGCCATTTACCCCAAGGGGAACTGGATGGATCGAGAACATATCACTTCGCAAAGAGCGCCTCCTATGCATGGTGGTGATTAGGTAGTCTTCTCTCGGTCCTGGGCTCAACTGCTTACAGAAGTCGTCGCACAACGTCCTGTCGGTACCCCCCGCGATCGACTCGGTGATTCTCTACGCATACATACTGCTTATTTTCTGTCTTACCGTGGAGAATGATGCCGATGCCGACTTGGCCTCGTCCCTTGCGGCGTTGAAGTTGGTTGAGTGGAGTGCTGTTTCTGTCGTGAGACCACCCAATCTACCACGGCGCGGCCAGCCAGTTTACTTCTGATAATCAGATCACGGTGGCTCGAGCCGTGCCCATCCAGGCGCCGGCCATACATATGCTTTCGTGACCCTCATCAATCTATTTGGCCGTCGCCAAACACGGCAAATCGGTTGTGGATACGCAATACACTATCTATAATCATACCTAAAATTCTGCGGGTTGGCCTGCATGGTTCCCTAACAGGGTGTCTTAACAGGTTAGGTAGAGTCTAACAGCATCAAGCTCTGCAAATAGGACGCTTACAGCATCAAAGATCGCCGCAACTTGGGACTATCGTTCGTGAATTTTGGGGAGCACATTGCTTGTTCGCCCGTATGTGTACGGATTTAGGCAGGAGCATATAATAGTGAAACCTCGAAGGCGCCACGCGATTTGAGCGAGCACGCGATCAGCAAAAATTCACCATGAAGCATTCGTTGACTGCAAGCGATGGGCGCTGGGCTCGTGAAATAGAAGAGTCAACTGCTGATCACAATGGATCATTATAGTAACTTTAGCCGTGCCTTGGTTGGACTCCAGGATACTGACGAAATGCAGCCTGCCCTCGATGTCGCCTATCATCCTTGGTATACTACGTAACTAGTGGATAGATCCCATTAGGCACGAATATCCACACAGAGACGAAGCGACTCAACCTGTGCTGGGGATGCCTCGACGGAAGACGCAACAGGTGCATCCTGCTGCATGATCCAGGTCTTCAAGCAAGACGTGTTACATTCTCCAACGGACAACGGCTGCACCTTGCAGCACGAACCATGTAACGACTGCACTGGTAACTGGTATCGCTTAACACCGAAGCCACCAACGGCAAGCAATTGTAGGATCAATACATATAGGCGATGTTACGGACTGTCTTGGCTAGGTAGGTAGGTAGCCAGGTATTTGTAAACAATGATGATTCGGAGTTTTAAAGTCGACATCTCGTTGATCGACAAGGACCAATAAGTCGGGTTTTAAGGTAAGCAGACAGAGCACGTCCAGGCTATTCTCGGATGGCCCCGAAGCCTCGAAAGCTGTAGCATGTCTTGAATCGAGAGACAAGAGGCTTTTGACATTGTAATACAGCAGCACTACTATGGAAGTTCACCATATCTGCCCGAGTCTATTTTTGTCAGAGTTAGCTTCAAATAAAGTGTTCGAGTTGGAAATAGTATAAGGTTCAATTTCTAAGGTTAACGAAGAGTTGACAGGTGGCGTTGTCCTAGGTAGGATAAAATGTATAGATAGTTTAACCCAAGTGTTATGTATAATATAGTGCATAGAAAAGTTTTCTAAGACAGTCCATGTTTTTAATACGAACGAGATTCATTCCAAAGCACCTCTTGACAAATATAACTTGATTTATTTGCTTGATTATAATCAACATAATAGAGAGGACGGTGATAGTTTCGCTATATGTGCTATACAAAAACCGTAGATAGCATATTAAAAATGATGGTAGGCAAAAAATTTGACATAATACATTACGGAATATACGTACGAAATGCAAAAGTTGAGATAAGCTCTCGATCGGGGAATTGAACCCCGGTCTCCAGCGAAGCTGACAATACAGGGATTGACAAGCTGGCATACTAACCACTATACTAATCGAGACAGCAGTTGTTAAACGACTATTGAAAAGGTCTCAGATAACATAGTTCATATTCTTTACAGCCAGAGCCGAAGTGTGCCTGCTGGACAATATCTCACCCTAGCAGCTCACACATGATCGTATATTCAATACATAAGCTCACTTTCAGTAGATATTAACAGCTATACCGCCCTCTTTTGTCGTTTCTACCGAATTGTGCTGAAAGCTTGCAACAGCTCTTGGCTTTGAAAAGAAGCCTCTTCCTTGCTAGCCTCGAGTCTAAAGCGACTTCGGTGAGTTGAGACTATCTCAGGATGACCTCAACTCTACACATTTCACGTTTACAAGTTAGATTTTCAACATTCAACCAGATACCCGCACGAGCCATCGCAAGTCAGATGAACTAGCGACGAAGATGCGCAGGAGGGTGAGTACTTCAAAGATAGGTTAGATGCTTCTATCACGCTTCTAGCCAATAGTAGTACTCCGTACCATGGAATGATTTCATCTGATATCCATATACAACCACGGCTTCTTATCAATTATTAGAGTCGACCCAACAAATTAGATATTCCGTCTGTACCTAACTATCTATTCATGTAGTTCTATTCAAGGTAGAGGCTTCTTCCAAGTGGGGTCCCAACAATATCTTCTCCAAGCTGCCCCTCCCCCGCCACAGATCTCGCATCCAACACCACACTGCCCCTCATCAGCACGCATTGAACCTCCACGGTGAGAGCTTACCTACCTGAGAGCTATATTCAAACCCACCTGCGTGTCATACATCATACCATCGGAAATACAGTTTCTGCTGCTTGGAATCGCACAATTCGGCTCCACAATGGCGCACACGCACTCCCACGACGGCCTGGCGGGCCACTCCCACTCCCACGACGGCTTCTCCGCCGCGGAGCACGGGCACTCGCATGAGATCCTCGACGGACCCGGCAGCTTCCTGGGGCGCGAGATGCCCATCGTCGAGGGCCGGAACTGGAACGAGCGGGCGTTTACTATTGGCATTGGCGGGTAAGGCCATCATTTCCATTATATCCTTACCCATTACATAGAAACGAGCGTGTCATCTATAGTCCCAGCACGTGCCCATCTCACTCACTCACTTATACGCAGACGGCGCTGAACCCCTGGTCCCCCCCACCCTCCCCCCCCTATATACATATACGTATACACATACACAAAGTATCACATTTACACACATAAACCTGCGCCTATATACCCAGCTAACACCCCCCCCACAGCCCCGTAGGCTCAGGCAAAACAGCCCTAATGCTCCAGCTCTGCCTCGCCCTACGAACCTCCTACTCCATCGCAGCCGTCACAAACGACATCTTCACGCGCGAGGACGCCGAGTTCCTAACCCGGCACCTGGCCCTCCCATCCCCGCGCATCCGCGCGATCGAGACAGGCGGGTGTCCGCACGCGGCCGTGCGCGAGGACATCTCCGCGAACCTCGCCGCCCTCGAGGACCTGCATAGCCAGTTCTCCACGGACATCCTACTCATCGAGTCCGGCGGCGACAACCTCGCGGCGAACTACTCGCGCGAGCTGGCCGACTACATCGTCTACGTGATCGACGTGAGCGGGGGCGACAAGATCCCGCGCAAGGGCGGGCCGGGGATCACGCAGAGCGATCTGCTCGTGGTGAATAAAACGGATTTGGCGGAGGCCGTGGGCGCGGATCTGGGGGTTATGGAGCGCGATGCGCGCAAGATGCGCGAGGGCGGGCCTACGGTGTTCGCGCAGGTTAAGGGGGGCGTGGGGGTTGATCATATCGTGAGGTTGATTGTCAGCGCGTGGAAGGCGAGTGGTGCTGAGGAGGTATGTAAGGCTAGGGGAGGCCCGAGGCCTACGGAGGGGTTGGAGACGTTGGTGTAGGGTGAGGATGGGGTGCTTGCGGCTGAAGCATTGCTTGAGCTGTCTCCTATGTTGTTGTTATATACCACGGAAGTGAGCCTGCGACTAAGGCCTTCTTAGATGAGAGAGATGCATTGAGTTAGATGAACTAGGTCTTCATTGACTCTTTTTTCCGATTGAGATCGAACCGGCTTGCTATACTCCCATAAATAACCAGACTAGAAATGTGACGGGTTGGTGCCCTCTCTATATGTAACGTCTACTGAATATCCTCATCCATAGCCTCACCCAGTGAACCAAACGCACCACCCTCTTCTATAAGCGCCCCAGTGAAGGGTCTGGCATGGCGCGGCCATACACGCTTGTAAAGACTGACACCGACCGCATCCTGCGGGTTAATTCTCCCGTCGAAGTTGGCCTTGAAATACCCATGCGTGCCCAGGCTTTCCTTGACGTATCCGGTTCGCCCCCTCTTCGTCCACAGCGGGAGAGCCTTGAACCATTCCACGTCCTCGCGGTTGAAGAACATGTACCGGATTGTGACGACCTTCTTGTGGATATGGTACGGGTGCCCGGTCAAGATGACACGCTTGGAGATCACCCGCGATGTAGAGGGCGCGCGAGCAGTACCGGTTGCTACCAGTTGCAATGGCAGACTGGTCTCCTCGCTGTCTTCGCTGGAGCTTGTGCGCTTGAAGAACAGTACCGGCACGGATCCCCAAGTGATAGGTCCCATAAACGATGCAATTGCGGATTGGCCAGGATGGAGAAACCGACAATATTTATGAACGTCATTCTCGGTATTACCACCCGTCGAAAACATCGGGTTGACGATAAACCGGCGAGGGCCACACTGGACGATAAGTTCCTCTTTCGATTTGATAGATCTCTCATAATCTTCCTTATGCGTAACTTCAAAGTTCAATGAAGTCTTCTTGTTCTCATGCCGTAAAAGGGAGAAAAGTGCAATTGGTCGCGAAGGAGTGTAGGACTTCTCGAGCTCTTTGGGAACACCCTTGAGATGTACGTGAACCCTTGTTCCAGGGGCAACTCCGCCTACTAAAGCTTCTCGTATTGAACGATTTCGGGAAGATTGGTAGTCGGATATTTGCAGTAACCGGGACCACTCCTCCGGCTCGTATGGGCGGTCCTCTTCTGTATTCCAAGGACTCGACCGTAGACTCTTCAATCCTCTATACTTGGCGAGTCGTTCTCTCGCAAGTACGTTTGGATGTAGTTCTATCTCGTCAGGAAATTCTTTGTCCTCGTCAGCTTCGTCCCGTTTCCTTGCACGGTATGCTTCTAATTGTGCAGCGTCGTCATCTTCGTTAGGTTCGACAAATATCTCGGATTGAGGGTATTCCGACATAGCAGCCTCAGTTGGCTCATTGGCCGCAACACCGACCATACCGTCCTCCGGGGCCGCAGGTATACTGTCATCCGCGGCATCTGCCATTTCTTCATCATCCAACTCTGATTCGGAGTCTGACACGTCGTCCAGGAACCACGCTGCTTGGTAGTTTGATGTCCCCTTCGGTAATTTTTTCGGAGCAGTATACTCCTCACGCTCTTCCTCAGAAAAGTAGTGATGATCGTCTAACAGAACACCCTTTTTGTTTGCGCCAGCGAGGGGCTCTGTCATGCCATCGTCTAAACCCACATCATCCATTTTCGCTTCCTCTGGGGCCAACTCATTAAGGTCGTCCTGGTCCTCATCAGGTGTCTCCAGAATGTTTTCGGCTTCCTCCTCGTCCACCGCCATCCCGTCTTTCCGTTTTTTAGTCGGAAGTGGTGCGGCTGTAATTTTTTCAATTTGAAAGGTCCCCCAATCTCCCACATGGACTAATCGATCGGCTTTAAGACCTTTCCCCCGAACGACACCTGTGAATATTGTTGATTCATTTTCGGTATACGGCCATTGAATATCGTCTACAAGCATCCACGATCTTTGATCCCTCCAATTGATCCCTTTCGGTGTCGTACTGCAAAGTGATCTCATGAGATTCGAACATTCCTGCCTCGAGTCAAGATTGTAGACTTTCTCCTGTCCTGGGTGGAAATGTGTCATGAAGGATGCCAGTGACTTGACGACGTCTGGTCGGGCCTTCGCAGGCTGGATCTTGTCCAGGTTTTGGACAACGGTGAATAGCGTAGACATGCCCTGGTTCTCGATACTTCGGATAATGAGTTCGCCTAGGGCGTCGACCTCGACCTCAGAAGACAATACGAAGACCACAAAGTCCGCAACTCTCGCGGCATCCATACATGCCGTTATATCTCTCTTGACTGGTATGTATTGAAGTTTCTGCTTAAACCGGTCGACGGTGACTCGGAAACTGGCCTCGGCGACCTCGGCTTCGATATCGAGACTATTATTGAGGCTTCGAATGGTCGCCGTCACGTCGCCGTCTGCGCAAAGCGGGAATACGGCAATGATCCTGGGAGCAGCATCTCGTCCGGAGAATACGGAGGTTTCCTTCTGGTGCTCCTTGTGTTTGGTGAGTTGACGCTGCTTGGCCTGGTTACGGCGGTCGAACTTGGACATGACTTGTTGGTGCGGCGTCTTGCGTTGACCTCTCTCATTGGGAACCTTGCCTAGGTACAAGAACCAGACGTTAGTTTTGAGGGTATGCCCATGCGATCTAGGTAGCACTATATGTTGCCATACCTTTGGCCTGGTCTCGCAAAGCACCCTTGGTGGCCTTCTTAGACTTGAAGGTCTTGTTCGCGACCTTGGTGGTCGGACGATGCGAATGGGTAGCCACCGCTGACGGCATCTTTCCGTCGCCTCCGGCCTTGAATCGGAAGGGTAACGAAGCCAGATTGGGAGTGTCGGTAACAGTATTGCACAATATATGGGAATATAGTGAAATATAGATATTTCGAGGTCTGGAGGGCTGGAGGGGCAGAGGGGCACAGGCACTTAATGCGAATCCACCGATTTTTTTGTGTGCGGGCTGGCGGGCTGCTGGCGGGTATTGTGGGTTAGCAGCTGATAAGAACTTTTTAGCGGGGCTCCTTTTCTTATCGCTTCAATGCGCCGAAATTTTTGGAGTTGACCTTCCTAACTTTTGGCTTGGCATCGTCGCCTGCTGCACTTGCCCTGCGCATTCTTCTCATATCAGTGCAGTATACGTCTGCTTCCGAAGAT